CTCTATCAAAGTATGCACTGCTCATGACTTTATTTATGACTGTCAATGAAATTAGCGAAATGGCCATACCTATTCCTCCAGAAAATAGGATTCATTTAAGCAATCTATAATTTTGAATAATAAAGGCAATTTCAACGAAATACGACACTTATAGTCCTAATATTGACACATAACTACGGGATTTTATGACTCAACCAGATTCATTTAAAGAAGATGAACGTTTCTTAAAATTGATGTGGACTTTGTAAAACTATTTGTATCGTTACGATTACATAAATTTTTCACTTTATTTACTCTTAGTGATGTTGTGCAACCCGAATACATTGAAAAATAAATGTGGAAATCTCGGATTTATATCCGAGAGTTCTGTGTACTTCAAAAAGTGAATGAGACAAATCGGTCATCCTAGAATGTCTGGATATAAAAATTTGCCTGGCAAACCGTTTCTATAAATCCTTGAATTCCATTGCCTACTGCACAACCAGTAGCACTTGGGAGCGTATACAGCTCAAATTTCAACTGTTCGGCTTTACTTAGCCTCAGAAAGTCGTTTTTCCTATAACTTGATTTCTATTGGTCAATACTCAACCAATGGGACTTCGAGGCAAGTTTAGTGCAGATTCTAGTTCTCCGCTCCAGAAAACCTTCGATTATCACCTCTATAATCGGAAGATAGAGTTCTAATTGGGGATCAATTGGAGCGTACACAAAAATGGAACCGATTCTTGCCTATCTACCTTTGCAATGGGTGAGATAGTCTTCTTGTTCCCTAATATTTTATATATCATTTTGTAGCTCTTGAAATTCTGTATCGAATGGTATATAATAGTTGTGGTTTTATTTGACTATGATAGGAAAAGTCTTTTGCGAAAGCGGCGATGGGTCGATTTTCCCATAGGAAGCCATAGGGAAAAACGGGTATTTTTGCAATAACTCAGGAACGGCTCGCCGATCCTTCTCATCTTCGAACTCGACCGAGATATTGTTAAGACTAAACTGTGTAGAAAATTTCATCGCGATCGGACGTTCCTTTCGAAAGTTATCGTGTAAACGGACGGACGGACGGACGGACGGACATACTGACCGATTCTAGAGTGTACTCACTTTTTGAGTACACAAAAAGGTACTCTACGAAACCTTAAAAAGTTTCGATTTTTGAAACGAAATCGAAACCCGTTTGAGTTTCGTAGAAAGTAAGATTTCTTAAGAGACAAAATCTTATCTGTAATATAATGAGATACGTCGCCTACATTCTGTACAATACACACTGCTGTTCTATACACAGCTTTTCCACACTACTATCCTCACATATCCAAGCTCCTTACCACCATAATCTAATTCAAAATTCTTCCAACCACCGAACTAGAGAATAAAAGAGCTCGATCTTCCTAATACTCATGGCCAATAAATAATTCCTTCTCAAATCTAAAACAAAAAAAAAGAATTTTTTTATTTTTAATTATTACTTAAATTCAAGTAAATTATTTTGAACACACTAAACCAAAAAAAAATGAATTAATTTTTTCAAAATCTAACTTACCAATAATACAAATCTAAGAACGATCTAAATAGAAAGATAAAAGCAGTTCTATGTTCGAAATAGTAACTCACCAATAGTTAAATTTGTTTTCAAATCTAAACGACAAAAAAAAAGAGTTTTTTTATTTTTAATTACTACTTACACTCTACTGAATTATTTTCAACAGTCTAAACAGAAAAAAAAGTCAATTGATTCATTCAAAATCTAATTTACCAATAATATAAATATGCGAACAATCTAAATAAAAAAAAGAAGTCATGTGCTCTAAATAGTAACTTACCAATAATTAAATTCGTTTTCAAATCTAAATGACAAAAAACGAGAATTTTTTATTTTTAATTAGTACTTACATTCTACCGAATTATTTTGAACAATCTAAACAGAAAAAAAAGTCAATTGACTTTTTCAAATTCTAACTTAATAGTAATACAATTGTAACAACTATCTGAATAGAAAAAAAGAAGCTATATGTTGGAAATTGTAACTTACCAATAATTAAATTCGTTTTCAAATCGAAACGACAAAAAAAAGAGAATTTGTTTATGTTTAGTTAGTACTTATATTCTGCTCAAATTATTCTGAACAATCTAAACAGAAAAATATTCGTTTGGTTCATTGAAATTCTAACTTACTAACAATATAATTGTTAGAACGACCTAAATAGAAAAAAAGTTATATATTCGAAATACTAACTTACTAATAATTGGATTAGTTTTCAAATGTAAAAGAGAAAAAAAAGAACTTTTTTGGAATTAGTACTTACATTCTAGAATTATTTTGAACCATCTAAACGAAAAAAAGGTCAATTGATTAATCGAAAATCTAACCTACCAGTAATACAAATGTAAGAACCGTCTAAATAGAGAAAAAAAGTAGTTATATGTTCGAAATAGTAACTTACTAATAACTAAGTTCATTTGCAAACCTAAACGAGAGAAAAAGAAGTTATATGCTCCAAATAATAACTTACCAATAATTAAATTCGTTTTCAAATCTAAATGACATAAAAACGAGAATTTTTTATCTTTAATTAGTACTTACATTCTACTGAATTATTTTGAACAATCTAAATAGAAAAAAATCTCAATTGATTTTTTCAAATTCTAACTTAATAATAATGCAAATGTAAAAATGACCTAAACGGAAAAATAAAAGAAGTTTTATGTTCGAAATGGGAACTTACCAAAAATTAAATTCGTTTTTGAAATCTAAACAAAAAAACAGAATTTTTAGTTCAGTTAGTACTTACATTCTATTGAAATTATTTTGAACAATCTAAAGAAAAAAAAAGTCAGTTGATTTTTTCAAAATGTAATTTACTAACAATACAATTATTAGAAGGAACTAAATAGAAAAAAGGAAGTCAGATGTTGAAAACAGTAACCTACCAATAATTAAATTAGATTTGAAATACAAAAAAACAAAAAAAGAAGAATGTTTGTATTCTTAATTAGTACTTTTTTTTCTAGTGAATTATTTTGAACAATCTAAACAGAAAAAAGAATTCAATTGATTTTTTAAAAATGTAACTTACCAATAAGACAAATCTGAGAGCGATCTAAGTAGAAAAAAAAGTTATATGTTCGACATAGTAACTTACCAATCATTAAATTCGTTCTGAAATCGAAAAGAGAAAAAAAAGAATTTTTTTATTCTTGATTACTACTTACTTTCGAATGTGTGATTTTGAACAATCTACATAGAAAAAAAATGGAATTGATTAATTAAAGTTGAGCTTACTAAGACTACAATTGTTAAAACGATCTAAATAGAAAACAAAAGTTATATGTTCCAAATAGGAAATTAGGAATAATTAAATTCGTTTTGAACCCTAAAAGAGGAAAGAAAGAATTATTTGTTTGTACTCATTACTTAACTGCAACAGTTTTTTTTTTGAGAAACCTAACTTGGAGACAAATGAGTTGTTAATAAGAAATTGTATCTCACCAAAATACAAAAAACGATAATCACAGTTTAATATGATGAGTAAACTCAAACTGAATCTATGAATAAGAAAACCATTACTAAATAAGAAAAACACAGCCTGCAGAAAAAGTAATAAATCTCGCATAAATGATAGCTGATGGAAATTGAATAATTCGCGTTTTAGAAAGGATATAAATACTAAAAAAAAATAGAGAAAGTTTAATGTGGCGAATATGTAGACTTTAGCTGATTTTACCAGGCATTAAATCAGAAATAAAAAAGAAATTAAATGTAACATGAAAAGAAAATGATAGAAGTCTTACATGAAATAGTTATCGATGTAAATGGAATAATTTGAGTTGTTTAGATAATATAAATACGAAAACCAAAAATCAAGGTTTAATACGGCGAATGAATATTCTTGAGGTGAATCTTCCAATAAATAAATCAATATAAATTAAAAAGAAAGTAAATGTAACGTAAAGAGGAAAGTGTTTATCATACAATCCCTTAAGGGTTCCGAAATCGAAAATGATGATGACGAAACCTTTTGATGATTCCGAACCCTTTAAAGTCTATTACGGAATCTTGAGCTGTGCTAAACCTTATTACGGTTGCTCATAGTTCCACGGATACTTATATAGTATAGTAAAATTCCACGAAATCTCAACGGTTTCGTGGGGTATCTTTTTTTTCAGTGTAGTTTGCAGTCTTTAGTTTGCTGATCTATCTGGCATCCAGCTTGATATGCAACTTTAATATATCGTTTTTAATTTTATTTTAAAAAGTTTTATGTTAAACAACAAAACGAGATATACTCTCAAAATAAAAAAAACATAACGTTAATAAAGTACTTGCACATGTTTCTTCAATACAACTAGAGTGATATTTTTAAGCGCGAAGAAAAACAATAACTCTTCGTCAAATGATATATCAACTAATTAGAAGAAGTGAAACTCTTCCACAAACAAACATATTTTCAAATAGATATAAAAGAAGAAACACGGTTTCACAAGAATAACGAAAAAATATTTTTATAAGAACAAAGTGAGTAAAACAAAAATGCGAGAAAAATAGAAGTACATTTAAGTAAGAAATAGTAATGAAAAAACATAGAATCTATAATATCTATATGATGAAGCATGTTTTTAACTAATAAATATCATGAAGAGAAAAAAAAGCATAGAACAATAATAAAAATAAGAAATTCAACTAAATAATGATATTGATGTTAAAGAGTTATTTTATCTTTAAGAAAAACACTCGATGAAAGATTTTCGCCGGTTAAACGTGCGCGTTCTTTTCTACCCAAGAACGCAGACACCGAAAAACAATTTTCACTGGGTACTGAGGTTGAAGGTGTACTTAATATTTTTTGTGCTAATTTTCCCAAAATTGGAAGTTGTTGTCCGTATGATTGCCAAAATATTGATGATAATGCTATATCTGGTTTATGTTTCAAGTTAAAATGTGTAACATAATTTCGATAATTATAAATATCATTAATAATTGTTGCCTTTGTATTTTGTCTAATTGTACTTCCTTCATAAGCAGCTTCACCAATAGCTTCATTGAACAAATCAATAGCACTGGTATTTGATTTGTTTGTTGTGTTGGTTGTGATTATGGTTGTAGTAGTTGGTAATAAGGTTGTTGTTACTTCTGTTGAATGAAATATTTCATCAGCAACCATTATTTTAATACTTTGTTCAACTGAACGTTTTTCAACATCAGTTAATGCTGCAAATCCAACAGGATCAAAATATGCATGTACCTTAAAAACCGCAAAACAATATTTTAATTAAGGTTATAAGGAGATTACAATTGATTTTCTAAGTATTGAGGGTAAAGCAATTGATCATATTGAACTGCAAGAAGTATTAATGTAAAAATATTATAAAAATTCGATTTATTTAAATAAAAAATACATTGCTCATTATTTTAAACTGCTGGCACAAGATTAGCCCATTTAGTTCTTCACCAATAATATGTTTTTCGTTTTTTAATGACAACAAAAGAATAATACTTTGCAAATAATACAGATGCTGTTTAATGTTTTTTTTAAACATTAAAAACTATGCAACAAAACACATATGAAAAAAATACTGAACTAATTTCTATTGTTCTGATTGTTTGATGGAATAGATACAGCAGCTGTTTTCAATAATCATATGTGACATATTTATAGAGTTACTGATAACCAACGAAATGTTTTTAAATTATATTTACAAAAACAAGCAAAAACACTATCTGTTACAATCACTTACTTTTAATAAAGACATTTGGTCGTCATCAGTTTCGAAATAATATAAAAATTTTGCAAGTAATAATTGTTTAAAATGTTTAACCATTAAACTTTCTTTTTTGTCATGATGTTGAAGAAAATATTTTAAACGTGTAAGTAAATAAAAAGCAATTCCCATCGACGGGTAACGACGACCTGACATTGCTTTTGTTGCATGAAAAAATGGTCGAAGAACTAAATGTAGTTGAGATAATATCATCCAATCATTGCTTGTAAACTCAAAACCAGATAATTTTGCAACTTGTTTTGGTCTTAAGTGCAACTGATGCTTACAATTAAACAATTTGTCAATTACTTCACGAAGATATAAAAATGAATCAATCATACAATATGTACTATTCCAACGTGATTTAACATCATAACATAAGTTTCGGTTAATATTTTTTTTTTTTCGTTCATTATCGAAAAACAATGTAATGATTGTAGAACGTTTAATCATCGAAATTAAATCACGACATTTCTGCATAAGACAAATAATAATTTCTTGATCATAAACAATATTAACATCTGATTCATTAACACCTTCTGTCCAATTATCCATAATTTCATCATCGACAGCATCAGATGTTAATTCTTCATCATTATCATCATGCTTTATATCGATAAATTCATTATTATCTAATTCCAAACCATCAGTAATATCCATTTTATTATTGTTTTGAACTTCTTCAGCAATTAACATTTCTTCTTCTTGATCATTCATCACCACATTGGTACTTTCTGGAAAAAGAAAAATATGATTTCACAAATCGAAACATATAATATTCAAAAGTGATAAATACCTTCTTCTTGAATGATTGTATTCTCTTCATCAGTTTCTTTTTTAACAATCCAAAAACCCAAACCATTTGTAATCGTGAGATGAATCCGGTGTGCAACACACCACACACGCTTAACATTTAAATCGAGATCATCAATAGCACGTATAATATTTTTACCACCATCGCATGTTACTCCAACCACTTTTTGTAAAATATTCAGTTCTTTTAATTTGGACTGTAATGTTCGAGAAATTTCAACAGCTGCATGTTGTTTATCAAATGTGGAGAAGCTTAAAACAGTAGATTGTAAATCAAATTTATTTTCAGCAAAATAATGACCAGTTATAACTAAAAAACTTCGCATCTGACGATTTGACCAAAGATCCATTGTCAGTGAGATATTGTTGACAGATGTTAGTTGGTCAATTAGTTGTTTGTGATGGAATACATTGAGACGTTTTAAATGGCGAACCACTGCAAATCTATTCGGAGGTTCATAATCTAAAAGATAAAAGAAAGAAATACAATAATGAATGAAGTAATTTAAAGCTGTAGACGTTTAGTTTGTACTTAGAATTGATTGAGAATAAATATAGTAACAGATGAAACACTATGTTTCAAAATAGAAAAAAAGACTTTTTCGATGATGTTTCTTAGCTGGAACTTTCATAACTCCAAAAGACGTGAGTCACATCTAGACGTAATTTTAGTATTAGGAAAATCAATCATTTCAGACTGGATAGCTTTAGAATTGATTCATAATTTATCTGTTTTTTTTTTCAAAATAGCTTCGATTTTTGGTGTCTTTGTGATCTACATATGCCCTCTACATTTATCAGACAATTCAAGCATTTGCTTGTATGTATTAATATGTGTTGGAGAGATTGATTAAATATACATTTTGTCAATAAACTTACCAGGTACAAGTACTTGTAAAATTTTCTTAATACCAGCTTTCTCAAAATCATTAAATGTTCTTCCATCACGAATAATACAACCAATCAACATATGATGTAATTGTTGTTTCTTGATAGGATTGAATAATGTTTTATTATGCTTTCGTTTGCTATTTGGTAAAATTAAATCAAGTTTATTATGTTTTGCTATTAAATGTTTACGTAAAGTTGTTGTTGAACCATTATTCGTCGATATTCGTTTGTTATCTGGACATAAACAGCATGTTGCATAATTTCGATTATCATCACGTACAGCATATTGCCACACTGCTGATGAACGTAACAGTTTTGTTTCATTTGTTGTATCAGATAAGACATTCTCTGTTGATGACAAAATAAATTTATTTTATGGATCTTTAAAATTTGTTTTTACCGTTAGATTTGTAGTTGGTTTTGTTGTTGTTTTGATGATGAACTTCACGAACTTCAACTAATTCAGCATCTGAATCATATACATATGCTGGTTTATAAGATGACAATGAATCTGTTTGTGCAGGTTCATTATTATTAGCATCATTATTTGTACAATCTGTAATAGGTGTTAAGATTGTTTTAGAAATCATATTATTCTTATTTTGTTGTGTAAAAATGTTGGATATGTATAAAATTGTTGATTAATGGCTTATAATTTGATTGATGAATGTTGGAAAATCCAAGATCTTGTAGATTGCCTAAAAAGTATAAATGTGGTAAATACGTTGAATGCGTAACATAAAATATATGAATGAATGACATACTTGAAATATTTTCCAGCTGAAAATGATATCGATCGATAAACGACTGGATTAATTTTTTGAATATTATTCGAAAATATCAGACCAATATCTAAAAAAAAATGTTGTTGATAAAAAATGGACTCATTCATAGACTAAATATTTTCAAATTCGAACGCAAAGTATAGTTTGTGATGACAGATACATAGGTTCTGTGAAACCTACAACTTCGTAAAACATATCTCATCCTGAAAATAAGAAAACGTGATGGTTCGTGCATAGTGTACTACATCTTCATAACCAAATGTATGTATTTGCATGAATGATAATAGCCTTTCATTCGAAAAAGAGACATATATCTGGCGATTTATAATGAAAAATAGTCGAATATATTCTTCTCTCTTTTCTAACTGCGTAATAAGGTGAATCGGACGGGGTGATAGAAGAACAAAGAAAAGTAGCTAAATATTTTCTTTTCTCTTTTCCAGATGGATGATGCGGTATATATAACGAGGTAATGAAGAAAACGATGTCGAGGGCATTTAATATCATTTTTCAGCAAACAAAAGCTAATGAGAATGAAGAAAAGAATTAGAAAATGGTCATAGACGACGAGCATCGGCAAAAGAAAAAAGATAGAAGAACAGAGGAGAGAAAATAATAGGTGACGCATCACTTTTATTATATGAAAATAGCGAAAGAATAACTCTTTCATTCGCGAACAAAGTGATGTTGAAATAAAATCATTTCGAAGAAAAAAATATAAGAAACCAGGTCAAGATAAGCTGCATTCACATGCTACGTACAAAAGTGTATGTAGCTTACTGTTAGTGTTTCTGCTTCACTTTATTTATTTAAAAAATCATAAGGAATGAATAACAACACAAGCGTAACAAGTATATATATTAGACGGAAAAGAATAAAGAAGATAGAGAATAGACAGAAACAGAAAGATATAAAAGATATATGATATAAGGGAAGGACAGGATGAAGCTATTTCGTATGTTAGAGACATCTTTCTAAAAATTATCGTCGCTAATTTAAATCAGTCAGCTTGTGTTCCATATGTAACCCTTTTCTATCCAGCTTTTGATGATAATATGAATCAACATATGAATGACATGCAATTAAATAAAAAAAAATTATTAAAAAAAATGAAATGTTTGAATTAAAAATAAAATTAATTCTTAGTTCTATTAAGAAGACGATTCAAGCTTAAAATAACAAAATAAAAGAAATTCATCTTGAAAAATCCGTTAATTCACTTTTTTAAGTAATTTTTTTTTGAATATTTTTTTATTTCAAAAGCTGAATCATCTATCAATTCTATCGATATTTTAATGCCTGCCAATTTGAGTTATAAGGAGAAACAAAATGTATTCTAAATTGCATGAACTGGCTGGTGTTTTTGCTTTTTTTGTTGATTTTTTTCAAATCAAAATTTGTCTTAGAATAGTATTCGAACTAGGATTTTATGACTGATAAAATTTCGATTTAGTTAACACTGCATATCTTTTATGAGAATCAAAGATTTTAATTGGCTCTAGAAGAAAAAATTAAAAAAAGCTTTACTATTGAGATTATGTTTTTTCTGTTGTATGTCGATCTATAGAAGTGAACAATACTGAAATACTTTTTTATGCATTCATTCAACTATTTTCATTAATAAAACAGCATTATCATCAATGCCATAAAATAGCATATTCCATTGAATAGACGCAATTTTGTTGAAATTGGCAGTTGCTAATAGGAATAAAAACTATTTGATATGATCGAACATAGTTGAGATTCCAGAGTTAGACAATTCATGGTTAAAAGTCAATGAATTCAATGCAATTCAATTCATAGTTTCTATAACTTTTCAAGTAAGCTCACCTCAAAATATGTCAACTCCATAAAATGTTTCCAGTTTAAGTCATTTAATTCATGAATTGAGTTGAATTAATCTTTTTTTGATGGAATTGCTCAGTTCTGATTTTGATTATTTTCAAGAATAAGCTTCAAGCGTTTGCTTCTATTGTCTTATCTGCTTTCAGTGTATCTTATCACCTTATTGAGGATGTCCCCTCAGAAACAAACTTCGTTATTTTTCATCCGATTTCAACCAAAATTTGAAAGAATGTTAATCTTGACTAGAATAGCTTATGGCTGAAATATTTCCCCAAAACTGAAAGAAATGCATAAATTCTAGTTCATTCATAACCCTTTATGCGGGCAAGGATTTCGCAATAACGATACAAGCTAACATGTCGGGGTGGTTTTCAGCTTGTAGATTGCCCTTAGCCTTAGGTCGTAATAGAGCCCGACTTTTGAATTTTCGTTTCATTGCTTTTTAAAAATCTTTTTTCCAAAAATTTTTGAATTCATGACCAAAGAAGGTCACTGATCAAAACAAAGGATGTACGATTTTTCTTTCAACTAAAGAGAAATTTAAAATTCGGGTTCCGTAGCGACCTAACTCTACATGTCTTCTATATAATAAAACGAAAAGTATCATTCCAATGTCGAGTCGTCATAGAGAAAAACCTGCCCGCATAAACTGCATGCACGAAAAAACTAATTTTGAGAAAAACCGAAAATGAGTATTAGAAATCGACTTTTCTGAAAATCACCTGATTTATATATCAATGTTTAAGACAGGCTATCAATATATAATTTTAATATTAATTGTTCATATTCTCTTGATGATTAGTATAAAAAAACTACGAAATGTTGATGCAAAGAGAAAGTAGCCTAAAGAGTCGAAAACGCTTGGAAAAAAATACTGGGATTTTCTCATAAAATTTGATAGTAGAAGCCAAATTTTAGACGATAAATTCGTCAAATCAATTCATTTTACGATAAACTATAGATATTTTGAAAGAGGAGATGTCGGTGCATCTTACTACGATAAGACTTCAACCTCGACTCGTCTCCAACAAATTGGATTTTCTGAGCCCCTCCCTCAAAGTGAGCTTTTCTTTTAACGTTTGCTTCTTTCTCCATTAAACTAGATGAATGAATTTTCTTATCTTAATATAGTTGTCCACATGTTGCTTCTTTCAATTTTTTCTTTTCTTTTAATGTCGATGATGGTTGATGATAGAAAGAAAACTTCATATGAAACACTATATGCGGGCAAATATGAGGTGAATATTTATGTTTAGAATAAAACAAGAAGTTGTTGTTGCGTTTAAACTATTAAGTCTTTTCAGTTTTAAGCTTATTAATCATGTAAAGTTTTCAATAGCGATACATTTGTCCAAGATATTGAAAAATAAATCCGTTTTCTCGAGACACAAGAAGAAAAGAGCTACCTTAAAAATGCATGCATATCTAGATTTTGTCTCTACAATATATTGACGGTTCAGTTTTATATCATTCGAAGTAGGTGAAAATCGAAAAGCAAAAGAAAAATTAACTAACCATGTCGGAAAGATGTCTTTAATTACTTCTTTTTCTCTTACTAATAGAAATAATTGTTTTCGGATGAAATAAATTTTGCACGAATTAAAAATATGATTAACTTTTAGTTGATTAAAAAGAATAAATTTTTCAGAATGGAAATAAAGTGATGAAAACACTTTCAATTAATCTTTGTTAAGAAAGCTAATTCATTATTATTTGTTTCTTAAAAATAAAAAACGATAGTGAAGAAAAAAATGCATTGTTAGAGAATAACAGCAGATATCCTAAATAAATTTTTTAATGCTGAAAAATAAGCAATTTGTTCATCTTTGTTTTTTAATGATTAAGATCCTATGTATCTTTATTTTTTAATAATAAACGTTGATGATGTCATCGCTTATTCACATGTTAGAATCCAATCTAATAGTATGTAATTCGAGGCATATTTCATAAAATTGTTTCATACAAGACGCTTTATATTAATTTTATCTAAAATATTTTCTCATTTATGACAAAAGTTGAATCATGTCATATTGATATTCAAACTATTCCAGAAAAGAATTTTTTATTTTGTTTTTTTCCTCTTCTTTCAAATGTGACCTATACAAGTGTCTGAAATAGATTGATAATGAATACCTCTTTTGTATTGCAGAGGCTAAGTGTAGTTTTTTTATGCAGTGGCGAAAAAGTGTATATACGTGAAAGTGTACGTAGCTTATCTCCACCAAGAAACCAAACTATTGAGCAGATATGGTTCCATTCAATGAAATTTTTTTGTTCATCTGCATATTACAGGTAGAAGATGTCGTCGTCTTCTGTGTATAAATTCTAGTCAATGGAAATCAGTATCAGTACGTCAGTGTTCCAGTGTGCGTCAGTGCAACAAGTGCAGTCAGTGTCAGTGTATGCACTGGTTCAGTGAACACCAATGTCGGTGCAGACAGTGGAATCAGTGCAGTCAGTATCAGTGTATGCACTGATTCAGTGAACACCATGTCCGTGCAGGCACTGCAACCGAAGCAGTCAGTGTCAGTGCATGCACTGATTCAGTGAACGCCAGTGTCAATGTATGTACTGATTCAGTAAACGCCAGTGTCAGTGTATGTACTGATTCAGTGAACACCAGTGTCAATGTATGTACTGATTCAGTGAACGCCAGTGTCAGTGTATGTACTGATTCAGTGAACACCAGTGTCAGTGTCATCAGTGTACCGGTGAACGCCAGTGCGGCTCTATCGGTGATCAGTATACTGAAACTGCACATCCCTACACGCACCCACACCCACACCCACCCACACCCAACCCACACCCACACCCAGCCACACCCCACACCCACACCCACACCCACCCACACCCACACCCACCCACACCCACACCCACACCCACACCCACACCCACACACCCACACCCTCACACACCCACACCCCACACCCACACCCTCCTGAAGATGTACTCAGAAGAGT